CATCAAATGTTTGTAAATCAATTGTTGGAATTGATGCAAGCCAGCTTTACCCTTTCTCAATGTGTCAAGATATGCCAACAGGACTGTACACGAGATGGGAGTTTGACACTGAAATGCAGAAATTCAAGGCTAGACATAATCGAACTCGCAACTTTGAGAATATGGTCATGTCTTTCTATCAAGAATCAAGACCAGAATGTAAAATTGAGAGCTTTTTTACATCTGGAAAACAGAAAAAGGCGACTGTTTTAATGTTGATGGTTACTGCGATCACTGTAAAACAGTATTCGAAGCAATGGGATGTTACTACCACTTCTGTTCCTGTTAAGAAGCTCGTCCCTCCTTAACAGAACAGGATATTGAGCAAGGAAACAAGAAGAGACAAATGGATGATATGCGACGAGAATATATTAAAGAGAAAGGATACAAAGTGGAAGAAATGTGGGAGTGTGACTGGTGGGAAAGTTTCAAAACCGATGACAAGATCAAAAATCACGTCAGAACCCACTTTCCCTATAAAAGACTTCTTTCTACAGACTCACTTCTAGGAAAAATAAAAGATGGATCTCTTTTTGGCTACGTTCAGTGCGACTTAGTTGTTCCAGATGAGCTAAAATCAAAATTTGCTAATTTTCCTCCAATTTTCAAAAATACTGAGGTCGGAAGAGATGATATTGGAGATTACAGGAAAAACTATGCGATCGAGAACGAAATGTTAAAGCATCCTCAGAGAATGCTGATATCTAGTTTCAAGCTGGAAAATGGAACAGTTATAACTCCTCTCTTCAACTTTTATATGGAACTTGGATTACAGTGCACCAAAATTTACCGATTTGTTCAATATTCTCCTCGGAAGTGTTTCAATAATTTCGTTCAATCGGGGGTTAATGCAAGAAGAGAAGGAGATGAAAACCCTTTGTCAGGAGTTGTAGCAGAAACGATGAAACTTTTGGGTAATTCCTCGTATGGATATCAGATGATGGATAGAGCGAGACATACAATCACAAAATATCTCAACGATGAAAAACTCATAAGGCAATCAATGTACCACTGTTTAAGAGACTTAACACAGTTGAGAAGGACTTATATGAGGTGGATTTAATGAAGTCAACCATTGAGCACAGAGAACCCATCATTGTTGGTTTTTTCATACTTCAGTATGCAAAACTGAGAAAGTTGGAACTCTACTATAACTTCTTTGACAAGTTCTGTGATGTGAATAAATTTGAAGAGTTGGAGATGGACACAGACTCACTTTACTTGGCACTTGCCGAAGAAAATTTATACGACTGTATCAAACCAGATAAGAGAGCTGCTTGGGAAAAAATTAGGGAAAATGACTGTAGAGACACTTTCAAGGCGGATGCAAAATCCAATTTCTTCCCTCGAACGTGTGGCAGTACGCATAAAAAGCATGATAAGCGGGAACGGGGACTTTTTAAAGAAGAATTCAGATGTACAGAAATGCTATGTTTGTGTAGCAAGACATATTGCTGCTATGACAACAAGTCCGATAAGTTCAAATTTAGCAGTAAAGGACTAAATAAACGGGTTCTAGAAGATTCTGGAGACGACCCCATGTCAAATTACAGGAGAGTGCTCGACGACGCAATCAACTTAACATCTACAAATAGAGGATTCAGAACTATAAATTATATGGTGGCCACATTTGAACAGACAAAGAAAGGACTAAGCTATTTTTATCCAAAAAGACAAGTACAAGATGATGGAATTCATACAAAACCATTGAACTTATAACAACTGATCTGTTGTAGTAAATTTATTCATGATGTTGTATTATATTGGTTTTATGATGTTAAAACGTAAAATTTTGCGGTAAACTCATTATACAATGCAGTGATTTATATACTTTTTTGTAATTTAATTTTTTCTCTCAAAAAATTCGATTTTTTTCGATGTCTCTGTAGGTTCAGAATGGATTCAGATAGGTAGAAAGTAAAAGTATCTAATAAATTTTTATTAGATCAAATTATACAAAATTTTATCGTGTTTTGAATTTTTTCGAAAAAATTTTATTTTTTTTTTGATAAAAATTCCAAGTTTTTGCACAAAAAACTCTTACCATTGACTTACCATATACCAAAAAACTAAATACATAATCTTAATTCTACAATCTACACTTAATTAACAATTAATTGTTCCCAATTAGATAACACGCACCAAAAATTTTGCGAAAAAAAATAAACATTTCCACACAAAAACCAAAAAAATTACATTTTTCTTTCTCTTACCATCACACTGAAACCTTACCATCGGTATTCCCTATCTTAATACATTTTAGACTCTATGCCCAATCTTAATACATAGCTGCCGGACCGGATGCTCTAATCCCTATCTTAATACATGGGGGTCCGTCACCTCCCCCCCACTTCAGCTCCAACATCTACTACTTACACATATTTGATTTATGCTTGCTTTTAATAAGTTGTAGGTCACGAAATAAACGATTATCTCGATTTATTAAATATGGAAGAGTCCATTGCAAGAGGATAGGGAAATGATCCGAGAAGTTTTGGTATTCGAGGACTTGGTGGTCTGTTTCGGTTAAATTTTGATAAATGAAATGACCTAGACATGTATTTGTTGTATCAGTAACTCTTGTTCCTTTGGTATCGCCAAGTTCAAACCCATTCAAAAAAATGAAATTCAGGTAGTTGTTAGATAGTTGATTAACTTTTGAAATGTCGATATTAAAATTGACACAGATAACAAAGGGAATTGAGGATGAGGAGTTATCTTCCAAAAATTTATCAAGTTGATCAATAAATGTTAATTTGTTTATTCTAGGAGGTTTGTCTAATACGGCTATTTTAAACTGGTAGTTACTTAGTTGGCTTTTTCTGTTACATGTTACAAACTTATTATAGCCATCAATGAGATAGCATTTACTGTCATCGTTTTCTGTTAGCCATGTTTCTGATAGACATAAAATAGAAGGAGGAGACTCAAGACTGTATACTAGTGCTTCCAATTCACTTAGATGACCTTTCAAAGAGCGAACGTTTATATGTAGCACTGAAATTTTAGGTTCCGGAGGGGGACTCCGATTGATAGAAAACACCAGTAAAGCAACTCAAAACATCATTGACTGAATATTTAAGCAAATCCCCGCCTTCGTAGAACCCGGTTATTTTTTTTATGTAATTGTCATTTTTCATCTGATAGAAGAGAGTTCCCTCTCTTGACCAAGCCGAAGCAATACGATTGTCTCTTTTCATCAGTTTAAGAAAGTTGAGTCTCGCCTTAGTGAGGTCCTCGAATATCCCTATATCTTTCGTGCTTTCTTTCTCGTTTAATTGACGCTTCTTTTTTAGAATTTCAACCTTGGCAACTCGCCGACAAAAACGAAACAAGAAACATTATCGCAGAAAGTCAACAACTCCCCGGTGACCAAAAATGCTACTCTTAAAATTTTTATGCAATTCCATAAGTACGGAAAATTGCATGAAAAGTCTAAGATAGGTGGTTTTTCTTATGGAAAATTTATAAATGTGGACTAGAGTTTTTCTATTAAACAAAAAAATTGATTTTTAAAATTTAATGTGAAATTCTTGGGTATTTGGCTCAAAACTGGAGTCACAGAAGGTTTGACTGTTTTGCATTTACAATGTGTTGAAATCGATCTGAATCGATTTTTAGATTTTTCTTGGACATGAGATATAAATAAAATATAAAAATTTAAAATTTTGGCAAAAAATTTCAAATACGATCATCTTTAAAAAAACGTCTTTTTTAATTAATCAGACATTGATCGGGGCATACATAAACATGTCATACAATACAAATAGGCGTTTTGAGCGTTTTGAAGAAAAAAATTATCTAGAAAGAGAAAAAAGACCACATTTCGTGTATCCAGGACTACGTTGAGCACAAAAAAAAATGCATGCACAATGTTTTTTTTTGGACAATGAGTGCAAAATTGGTTTTGCAGTTGAAACAAAAATGTTTCATTTTTGAAATTACTTTCAAAGTGTTTGTTGCCAGTATCAAAAATTTCTAGTACAGTTCAAATAAGGCAATTATTTTTTAGCAATTTTTTGACAAAAAAAAATTTCTTTCTTATTTATGTACAAAAAGTTCTATGAACGAGTGAGCCGAGCTCTATGAAAAGTGAGTAGAATTTTTTGTCAGAAAGTTTCTGCGCCGTAGGCATAGTTTTAAAAAAGGATGCAAAATACTTTTCACACCCAATCGAAAAAAGCAAATTTTTGTCTGCTGAAAGAAAAAAACAAAAACCTCAAAATTTGATTCAAGGGCTTATAAATGGCCAGTTTGGTCATATTTTTGACTCATGTGCACTTATTTCATCTGCAATGCGGAAAACGCAATTTTTTTTGAAAATCCATAGATTACAACTTTTGTCTGTGGCCGAAAATAGTTGTAAAGACAAAAAATTGTCAACGTTTTTTTTAAAAAAAAAAATTTAATGATAACATTTTCTATACCGCTTACCCACTTTTTATTAGAATCAACATAAATTTATACTTAAAATCAATTCTAAAATTACACGAGTAATCTGAAAACGAATTGTTGAACAGTGCTTCAAATTTCAGTCATCTAGTGTTTTTCAGAGCTGTTTTTTCGGGTTTGATTGTTCAGTAGCCTTGTCGATAACACGTTTTTTGTTATATCATTGTTTCTTTCTGAATGTTTTTTGTTTTTTAAAGATAAAACCTAATCAATGCCACAGTTTTGATAAAAACAATTCGACCCATAGTCTTGTCGGCATTATTTCAACCTCGGCCTGATTTATTAGTTTCGAAAGCGTCATCTGTATTATAAGCTGGTATTTGGACTGAACGCTGAGAATTTTATAATCTTTGCAGGCTCGAAAAATTACTTTGCTTTTTTAATGTGAATAAGTTTTTATTTTAGTTTCACTTCAACTTGACATTTTTTATCTGAAATCTGAACGCTCCTACTTCTCATTTTCGATATGTCCGATGATTCTAAGCACTTAATGAATCATTTCACTTTACCTGGAGGATCATCAATTCCTGGCGTGACTTCCCCACCCTGAGAGTCTGTCGCTGGACCTGTTTCACTTGTGCTTTCTCTGGTTTGTCCATCATCTATTGGGACCTGGCAAAAAAGTGTCATAATGTAAATTGTTCATACATTTATTCTGTCGAAAAGACTTTCTTGTTCTTACAACCACCAACAATAAGAAACAAAGTCGGCATTTGAAAGGATTGTTGCTGTTTTTATACAGTGAATAGAGTTGGAGAGAATATACTTTCAAAAACTCAGCAAAACAACTAGTTGAACTATTATCTGTTTTTTCCAAAGAAAGTATGGAATATTTTCGCTTGAGGTGGTTTTTAAATTGAAATTTTTTTGCAATTGCGGTACTCACATCCGAAACATATTAGCTTATGATAAGATATATAAGATGACATATTACGAAAGATATTAGCATGAATATGATAGTAAAAGTTATCGGTAACCTTTTCAGTGACCATCAGAGGGCATGAAAAGTGCCAAAAGTTCTGCAGTAGAATTTGAGATTTTATGCTGAAATTGTAACGCAAAGTATTCATCGTCGCGACAGATCCAGCACCCAAAACGGCTCCAATATAAATTAAGCCATGGTAAATGGTCACAATAATTCCCTACAAGGCTCCAATTGGAACACTTGAATTCTTTTCAAATTAAATTGTTAGCCACATATCAATCAAAAATTTCTGTGCCAAAAATAATTATGATCATTTACAGGGCAGTTGTTACATTCAATTTTTTCCTAATATCCGAGCAAATTTGTGTCCAATATTCAAATAAATAGCAAATGCGAAGTGGATTTTGTATCTGTACCAATTAAGGATAGTCAGAACGCTTTTCAAGCCTTCTAGTCTAGAATTTGACAGTAGAACATCTTTTTCGAGGACGATGCTGTTTAGAAATTAGCATTTCACTATTTGCAATTATTTAGAAAAAAAAATAAATTTGCAATTTGTTCAATTTTTTGCTTTTACAGCATTTGAAGAAAACGTTTTCAAATTTTTTATTGAAACCACAGCTATAATTTTTAATATTTCATTAAGAATGAAACGCAAAATTTCAGCACGAGGCTAAAGTGTATATTTTGCGTACTGTAAGTAGATTTGCTAAAAAGCTAAAAACAGATTTCACGCGGCTTCCGCAACAATGCTATTTTTTCAGATCTTCTGCTGTTTTGGATTCCTCGAGCAAATAGGTAAAACAAGGTTTCACTCAAGACTTCTCCAACCTGGTTTTGCAGGGCTGGAGTGAAACTTGAGAAATCAAGAACAACTTTCAAAATACAAAACCAAACATGTTTTCAGTACATTATAGATTTTAAAGCTCTGCTTATGATTTCCTAGTAATAGAGTTCCTAATCTTTTCAAAAAAAGTCGGCGAAAAAACAGCAAATAGTGAGCGAGATATCTGGCTCGCAATGTTTTTTGATTATAAGTTTTACTGTTTCCTGATATAATTTTTCATCAGGATTTTGGCCTTTTCTTACTTTTTGCTTGTTTTAAAACCCATGTAGAGGAACGAGACGTGTTTTTTTACTATGTCGGTCGCGAACGAAAATCTACAGACTGGACAGGTTCTTAAGGACAGACAAATTCTAGAAATACCATATATCGGTCGCAATGTGGAAAAATTAGTGCGATATGGTCGAAAAATTTGTCCCTTTAAAATTTGCGGTGAGTCGAACTCGGATCAACGACATTTTAACCAACCATAATATATATCCACATACTTTTTCGCTTTGATGTATTGGAGCTCACAATTTATTTAGTTCAAGCTGTTAAGTAGCCACGTGGTCAAAAAATAAGTCGCGGCATGGGCGAAAAAAATCGCGGCTTGGCCGAAACATTAATCGGAGCGTGGTTGAAAAATTAGTCGCGGTATGGTCGAAAAGTTAGTCGTGATGTGGTTGAAAAATAAATCGCGGCATAGCAAAAAGTTTTTTGACTTACCTTTTAAATTTTTATTGAGTCGCCCAAATTGTTTTTCAGAGCTCTGCCAAAGCAATAAAAAGACCCTGTTCTTGCCTTATTTTTGCGAAATTATAAAAATAGGCTAACAAAACATATACCAAAAAAGCATTTTGTAAAAACAATTTGACCAATACAGTTTTTGAGCCCGCCCCATTCAAAGATAGTTTTTATGGCGCCGAAGGCCCCATTAGAAGTTTTTTTTAGGTGCTTCACCAAAAATGAAAGCCGGTTAACTTTCCTTCGGTCAAGGTGGTCGCGGGTGCGTTGCCTCATTCTGCAAAATCCGGAAATACCAAATTTTGGTTGCCGTGGTCTGAAAAAATCCAGTTTTGGTCGCGGCAGTCCAGAAATACTACATTTTGGTCGCGAGTAACCGAGAAAAATCTGTCAAAACTACGCATTAATGCACGGTACTTGCAATGCTAGCTAGAAGTAATGTCTGCTTTCTTGTTGCAACTACCCTGATAATAAATTAGGAAAAACGTCTTTCATTACATCAGTGTTGCATTATATCATTATGATAATCTTTTAAAATCTCTGTTTTTGCTTTTCCTTTTGTTAAAATTGTTCAAATTTTACATACTTGTGTAACATAAGAAGTTTCATCATTTTGGCTTAATGATTCGTCGCTCTTCGAAGCAAATTCATGTTTGAAACCCATGAGTATCACAGTTCCAGCAATGATTATAGCTACCAACACTATGCCTACAATAGCTCCACAAAGAATAAAAGCCCGATGAGCTCGAGGAAGCCACAATTTGCTCGGCTGCTTGTCCATTTAAACCATTCAGATCTGAAAGAAAATTCGAGAAGAATAAATGATTTTAAATTTTAAGGATCAAATGTAAGAAAAAGAGCATTATAAAACAAAATCTATTTGTAAAGAATGTCTCAGTCTTCCGTTGTCTCAGTTTTTTCCAGTTGTAGTAATTAGAAAAATGACAGTTTTGATCTTTTCCTGAACTACATGTCAGAAAGACTATCAACCACAGGGCAGACATGCACTCACACATACACACGCAAACAAACATATATACATATAACTACAAACCACACACCGATCCACCAAACACCCATACTCGCAACCTTTCACATTAGTGGATTTGCAGAGGAGGGCGTTGACGTATGCCCCCGCCCCCAGGAATTAGACCCCTTGACGGCTGAGGAACTAAAAACTTTTTTTTCTAATGGCGCCTCAGGCGCCTACACAAAAAACGCGCGCCAAAAAATTGCTCCAAAGTTTTCCAAAGACGCCTAAAACAAATTTTTCGACCCGGTTTTCAGGGAAACGCCTTTTAGGGAATCGCGCGCCGAAAAATTGCAATATTTGATCCAAAATTTTCCAAAGACGCCTAAAACAAATTTTTCGACCCGATTTTCAAAAATTCGAATGCTGGGTGAAAAAATTGATCGAAACAGGATCTATACATTGATTTAAGAGGACTCGGAAAATCATTTTGGTATATCTAAAGATTTTTTCTGAAAATCCGCCTCTCTCTCAAAAACATCCTAAATTCCATCCTAAAATCCTAAATCAGCTCCTGCTGAATCACGTCCGATAAAAGGTATCGGATTTTTATCAGTCCAACTATCTAAGAAATCTTAAGATTTTTTGTGAAAACATGGGGCTCAAAACTCTGGGCAATCTGTGTTTTCAGGGGTTTGATACGGTTTAGAATTATACTATTGAATTGAGGCATGTTCATTGGTTGACATAAATAGTCAGTTGCTGCAAAACATGTTTAATAGGGGAAATGACGATTTTTAAGATTTCAAACTTATTTTTTTATTTTGAAATTTTTTTTCAAATTTATCAATCAAAGCTTAATTCCGAAAGAGTTTGGTCGGACTCGGTTAAATAAATCGAGATACTTAGACACTCATCTTGCTAAGAGTAGTTTCTAATGATGAAATTTTAAGATTTCTAATGATGAACAAAAAATTGACTAAACGAAGAAGCGAGATGCCGGAACTTAATTAAAAGGCACCCTAATTATAGAAACAGACAGATGTTTTTCTGTCAAAAGAACAATAGGAGCAAAAAATTTTCCAGATTTGTTTTGATCAAACCTTGTGAACTGAGAGAATATATATATTTTCTCTTAGTAATCAGTTTTCTGTTCAAGTTTCAATAGAGCAACACAACATTCAATACTAAAATTGTTTTGTTTATGGTTTTGAACGAATTTTATCTGATGTTGTTTGATGTACTTGATGTATTAAAATGCCATATGATTTTTTAAAAATTTTGTTCAACCTCCAATGTAACGATGCAGAATGAGAGCATTCACTAGCACGAGAGCACTCTTAAGCTCGAGATCATTAAGTTTTGAAAAAACTTATTTTTGCTGCAGCAATTTCACGTGATGTTTATCTGGATCGGTCATATGATACTTTGGCAACTTCAAACGCTTTTCAGTTGTAGTTCATCGCGTAGCCATGAACATGTTTTTTTTCTGATCAAATCTGAGATGTAATTTTTCATTAAATAATATTTTTACGAACATCACACACCTGCTGCGCAAAATGAGTTAAATAGATGAAGATGATTGCTATGAATGAAATATATAGCCCAAAGTTATTTTATAGATATTAAATTGATTTATAATTAGCTTGCGTCAGAAATATCGGGTTGAACAAAACTTTGAACGAGGTTGTTCACCTCCCTCAAGACAGCCTTTATCAGACCTTCACTCAGAAATTAACTCTTGTACCGCTACATATTTCCTTTTATTCAGTCTCAGCAGCTGTTTTTTTTACTTTTTAATTTCAATTTTCAAATTGTTTCAATGAAAATTTTTGATGGTAGTTATATTAGCCTATTTGAATTTTTTTTGTTTAGCACGGTTGACTGAAAAATGTCTCTAAATAATTGGTTGGAATATATAAAGTTATCGTTGCAAGTGCGATATACAGAAGTAACCTTTTTTGATAGCAGCAACCGGCTCAAAAAACTCAAAAAATTCAACATAGCTATACAGGACTAGATAATACTACTTTAAACTGATTTCGGTAATTTCGGGCGATTCCTGAAAACACTGTAGCTGTTATTTAAGTATAATTTACTTGCGGTAGAAATATCGGAGTCAAACAAACTTTTGAGGTGTGCTCGTTCGCGTCCATCGATACCACCTTTATCAGACCTTCAATCAGAAATTATTTTTTTATACCACTTTATATTACCTTTTATTCAGTCTCAACAGGTGTTTTTTCAGTTTTTAGCAGCCACTTTAATTTTGTTGCAGTAAAAATTCTTGATGGTAATTATATTAGCATTTTGAAAATTTTTTTCATTTAGCACAGTCGACTAAGATTTCTCTAAATTTTAGATTATGAATATATAAACCTAACAAAACAGGCAATCTACAAAAAAAAACCGTTTTTGGTAGCGGCAATTGCCTCGCGAAACCCAAAAAAAACTCGCGATAGCTATAGAGGACTATGTAATACTACTATGCGGCATTAAACTAATTTTGGAAACTTTGGGCGATGCATGAAAAAACTAGCGGCCTTAAACTAATTTTGGAAACTTTGGGCGATGCATGAAAAAACTATAGCAAATTACTTGCGCTATGATAGATAGATTGCAATTGAGGTCAATTGCTACCGATAATTTAGATAGATTGGAATTAATAAATTTTTTTGACAAAATCAATGAAAAAAAGCGAACAACTTCAAATTGTTTTACAATCAATTTAAGCTTAAGTTCTACATAAAAATTATAATAATAAAAGAATATTTTAATATTAGTTTGCAAAAGTTTGCTTTCTTGAATTTTTGTTTCTGTGAGTATATTTAAATCAAAATCAAACCGCAAAAAGTATAACTTTTCCGGAAAGGAAAAAACATATGACCATAGAGGATCTTAAATTAGTTATTGTCTTTTTATAATGCGAGTTAATTACTATGTGAGAGTTTTTTTTAAAATTGTTGTCATGGAAGCAATCGGGTGTTAATTAGGCTTTCATGCAAGCCTGTGAGGCTTAAGTAAAAAAAATTCAATTTGCTTCACGTTTTCAACATATTGTTAAAAATTTAAATTTTCAAGCAAGATAATTAAGTGATAAATAATGACGGGATCCTTTTGAGTTGTTTTGTTGTTGTTAAAGGAAGGTTCAAAGTTTGATTTCTTCAAGATATTTTGAGAAAAATTGAAACAGCATGTGAATCAACATAACTTGAAAAACTTGATTTTGATAACTTGAAAAAAAAGTGTTTTTAAAGGGCCTTCCTGGCTCAAATTGATTTTCAAAATTTTTTGTATATATAACACGCTGGACAAAATTTTGAGGTTCTCAACAGAAAAATAGCAAAAAAACTGGCAGGTAATCAGACTCTGCTGAAAAATTGGATTGTTAATGTCTCATCGATTTGAAGCTGAAGGATCTCTGATTAATGAGTTGCCTATAAACTAACTTCCCTAGCTCTTAAAGATATTTACTGCCTTCCCTCCTATAATCAACGGTCGACTGACCTATTGAGTTGTTTTCGAGGTGAAAATTTTACTAACCAATAAACTCAAGTAGATTACAAGACGCAGTCTATGTTGAAACTGAAACGGTAATTTATAAGTGATTGGTTAGGAGTGGCTTAATGACCCACCTCTGAACAACCTCTTTGGTCACAGTGACCTCCCCCTCTGACACCTCAATAACAGATGGGTGATGCTCCCCCGCCCGTCCGTTTCTTAATTCAAATATATTTGACTGTGGACTCGATTATAAAGTCCCAACGAATAAATTTTTTGATGTTTGATTTTCTGCCATGATAAAATTTCTTAGTGTTGCTTCAAGATTGATGGTTTCATAAGGTTTCTTGATAACTTCACCCTGTCAAAAGTTTCATCAGTAATCAAAATTGCTTCTTCGAATTGGTACAGTTGGTACTACAACTGAAGTAATGACAGAGGAAATACTTTGTCACTCACATCACATTGGCCGCCGTCACTATTTTTTGTACCATCTCATTTTTTTCATGTATAGTTCCCACGTCGTTTCCGACAAAGTTTTCGCTCAACGTTCCCAATATCGATAAAAGTTTGCCTAGTTTCAAAATAAATTTTGAGTACAATACTCGTCGAGCATTTTCACAATAGGTTTTGGGTAAAATACCACGTCAATATTCTCAATCGTCATCGCCATCACATTTGCTCTCCCGTTACTAAATTCGACCTCCTCAACGTTGACATTTATCTTTCTTGTAAGTTTGGCAATAATGTGATTATTTCACTCCAATAAGGAGTGGGAATAAGTTTTCAATCATTTCAGATATACAGGTACTCTGTGAGTTTTCTAAAAACAGATCTGAAATAACATTGTTCAGATCTAAATTTCAGATCTGAAATTGGTTTAAAAATGTTTAAATAACGTTTGGATACTTCAAGGATTGGTTGTTTCAAATCTAAAATCAGACCTGAAATTAAGTTTTTGTTGGTTATTTTAGATTTGAAAGAGCAATTTTCTGACACAAGTGTTGGTATTTTTTGTTTTTGATAGCAAGTTATTTATTAGCTTCTAGGCAAAAATTTTATGTTTTTTTTATGATAAAAATTTTCATTTTTGACTATCATGCCAAAAAATGTTCTCTTGACTATCATGCCAAAATATTTTCTCTCGACTAATTATATTTTTTTACTATCAAGCCAAAATATTTTCTCTTGACTATCATGCCAGAATTTTAAGTTCAACTGTGTCTTCGTCAGCCAGTAGTTGACCTTCTATCATCCAAATCTCCAGCCCTGTCAGCATCTGCTGATCCATAGAGTTTTACACTACCAGCGTCCGCAGTGT